GGCACCCAGCCTTAAAAGATAGAATCAGTAGGTAATAGTGTACATAGTAAAGATCAACCTGTCTGTCTGAATCTTATTATCTTCCTTCTGTACTTCCAGCCATCTTAAATTGCAAGAAAGACTAAGAAATAATCTATTCCAAGATTGGTTTTAAAAACCTAGTTAAAAGAAAAGTATGTGGAATTTTATCTCCAAAGAAGAGGAGATTAGATGCTGGGGAAGACAAGTAGTAGTCTACATCTGAGTTCTGTATGAGGGGCCCATGTAGTCACTGGCGGCTAGAAATGAGCAGGAGCCAAAGGAACTCTGGAGGGCCAGACCACAGGAACCGTAGTATGTTCCCATAGCTGGAGGTTTGAGCAGCACACTGCCTAACATTTGTGACGAATGGCCTTCATGGCTGGGGGGTTCCTTGTCCCAGAGTCAAGATCATGGCACTGAAAGGCTGTGAGGGCGACCCCAGCCATGTGTCTGTCCCTGGGAATTTTCTGAGGTAAAGAGAAGGAGGACCTTGTCTCTTTGTCTTCTAAAGTTACCTTTCTCTTCCCTTAGAGGAGTTCTCTAAAATAGTAATAATGATGCTTTAAGCAAGGTGCAGGCATGCATAGATGAGTGAGTGTGCATGACAGGGGGGAGACTTATATACCAGACACCAAAAACTATTTAAATTTCCATTGTATCTTTTCTATAAGGTGAAAGAGTTGGATTCAACAACTCAAACATAAGATGTGGTCCTGTTGTTGTGGTGGAGTCATGGTTGCTTGGTTAATCCAATTTTCTTGCTTATATGGATACTAGAAAATTGAGATACTACTGCTCCGCTTTCCTAATGATAGTATTGTTAGATCACAGTCTGGACTTTGAGATAGAACTGAGAGTTTGTTGGGACTTGTTGGGAAAGTCTTCTTTTTATTTTCTTCTTAAAAGGTATTGATATCACTGGTGTATCCTCTGAGGGTTTCCCTCTTTCTTTCTACCCTGAACAAAGATGTGCTACCAAAGATTATGAGGGCTATTTTGTTGCCATCAGGCAAAATTCATGAAGGTGAAAGTCTTGCACACTAAGTGTGTCATGATACATTAAAAATAGCTTGGATCTTTATTTTTGATCTGATGAAAAATTTTTGTATTTAAGTTTCTTGTTATATGAGGAAAAAAAAAGAACTTATACGTACAAACCAATATTATTTGGTTTTTTTATTATCTACAATAAAAAAGTCCTAACTTCAATATCTTATAACTCATATACATCTATTGAACAAAGATGTTAATGTGGGACTATAGTAGCAAGAGGAGGTTCTAGCATTCTACCAATTTAAAATGAATACTGCGATGGCCTTTTCAATGTTATCCTGTTTCTTTTCTTCACCATAGAGCTAGACAGTCTTTTCTCTCAGCCCTTCTGAGACTGTGGGTTCTTAGGAACAGTGTCACAGACTATGCACACTGCTTAGATAGTCATGCCCATCCGTCTGTACCATGTCCACGGGCATTTTCATGCTGCAGCTGCAGAGCTGAGCAGTTGTGATAGAGACAGGCAGATCCACAAGCCTAAAATATTTGTTATCTGGCCCTTTACACCTGCTTCAGGACATTGCATTTTCCTGAGGCCTTCATTATCTTTGTCACTCTCTGAAGGCTTATTTCAGTACCATCTTGCCTTTCCTGCTTCAATTTTTCCCCCTCTTTTCTTCCCTGTTACTTTCTAGCATTTTACTCTGTTTATTTCCTTTGAAATACTTACCACGATCTAAACTGATCTCATTTGTATGTTTTTTGCTTTCCTGTCTATGTCCAATCACTAGAATATAAGCTGTATGATTGTGAGAACTTTTCTGTCTTGTTGAATTTTCAGGATCTAACTCAGTGTCTGGCATACAGGAAGGAATTCAATAAATACTAAAATATATGAGTAAATAATTAGAGCCCTGTTCTTATTAATTCAGATGTTTACAGTAATTAATGAGTCTTCATTTTTGCCTCTGGCATCTCTTAAAAATCTTCTCTCTTGTTTTTATTTATTCATTGAATACAGGGTCTCGCTACACAGCTTGGACTCCTTCTGTCTCAGGCTCCCCAGTGCTGGGATTACAGGTGTGTGCCATCACACCTGTCTCGTAGGCCAGCACAGTGCACCTAGGGTTTCAGGGCTAGCAGGGCATGCGGTACCAGGGATCAAACCCGGGTCTTTGTGCTTGTCAGGCAGATGTGTAGACCAGTGAGCTATCTCCCAAGCCCCACCTCTAGCATCTTATTTGTCCAAGTGAGGACTTAGGCTTGTCAGATCTTGAAGCATACTTAATTCCCAGCACTGAAACCTTCAGAAACTACCTGCCAGAATTGAGGTCAGACTTACTGACACAATCTTAGCCTCTTCACAGGTGTCCTTCATGCTTATTTGAGTGGCCTGCACCTCACCAAACTGGCCAATTTGTTCATTTCCCCTAATACTTGGTGATTTTTATCTTTGTTGCATTTACTTAGATTTTCTATCTAGATTTCCATACTTTATGAATTCCAATGACAAAATCATGCCCACTCTTTATGGATCAGCTTAAATGCTATTTTCTTTACTAAATACATGATTTCTTTTGTTCCATTTCCTGAATTTTTCCTCTTTCCAGCACCCTCCTCATTGTCTGGAGTTCTGTGTTTCATTTTGCTTTTCTTTTTAAAAATAGTGTTGTTGCATCTGCTTATATTCCAGGAAAGTCTATGCAATTCCTTTTTAGCTTGACAACATATTTCTCAGGATGTATAATCTTTTGGATTTTTTTTTCCAGATGATATTGCTTAGTTTCATTCACATTGTTGTATGTCTTATTTATCGCTGTGTAACAAATTACCCCAAAACTTGGCAGATTAAAAATAGTACCCACTCACTGTTTTGGTTTCTGTGGATCAGGAATGTGGGTCCAGCTTAGTTGGATCCTCTGTGCCATGTTCTTTTTTAAATTTTACATATTTGGTACAGGGTCTCACTGCAGAGCTCTGACTCATAGTAGTCCTCCTGTTTTCAGCTTCCCCAGTGCTGGGATTGCAGGCATGTCCTACCATGCCCCGGACTTGGTCACTGGCTCAGCGTGCCTGGGGGGCAGGGCCTATGCAGCATGTGGTGTCGGGGATTGAACTGCGGTCCCTGCACTTGCCTAAGCAGGCGCATAGTCCACTGAGCTATCTCATTGGCCCTTCTCTATGCCAGGTTCTGTCACAAGGCTACAACCAGATCACTGCCTGTGACCACAGTCACCTTAAGATCCAACTTAGACAGATCTACTTCCAAGTTCTCTGTATGGTGGTTGCAGAATCAATCTCCTTGTAGGCTTTTAGACTGAACCCTTTGTTTCTTACTGGTTGCCTCTGTTCCTCAAAAGGTGACCTCTACTGCAGTGAGGACAGCTAGGTAGGAAACTCTAGCAAGACAAAAGCCACAGTCTGCTGTCACCTGTTATGGGAGCTGCATGCCATTATTAGTGTTGCTATATTGTCTCCATTAGAGGCAAGTCGCTGTGTGCTGCCAATTCTCAAAGACAGGGGAATCACACAAGGTTGTGAGTACCGAAGGCCGAGTTGGGTCCTGGGAGCCAGGTCAGAAGCTGCCTACCACACGGCGTATCACTGTGCTTTATGCATCCCAACTGCTGTCTACTATGTCCTACAAATACCTCAGTTTATGCTACTTTGCCTGGGCATTGGTTTTCCCCTCAAGAAGTTTTGCTGTTGGGGATGGTGATGCCACAATATTCTTGCATATATGAAGAGACCATGGTACTTTTCTCTTAATTGTTCCCAATTTGGAAGGTGTCCTGCCAGAGGGAGCACAATTGGGACTTACTCGAATTCTGCTGGAACGAACCATGGCCCTTCAGAACTACTGTAGCATCTCATCTGTTATGGTGCCTATCTCTTGTCACCCTACACTGCTCATGTTTTTATGCCTGTCATATTTTTCCCCCAGAAATACTAAGTTGTTGAGGGTAGAAGATAAATTTGATTGTTGTTTTTGTGATTTGCATAAATGCCTATACAGCACTTAATAAGGTTTCAGTATCACCGAGTAAATAGATTCTGTCTAAATAGCTGCCTGATTTTTTAAAGTCTTCATAATTTGGCTCCAGTGACTGTTTATATTTCTCCTCTCTTAGAAGGAGCCTTGGTTAGAGGCAGGTTGTCTCCTTTAAAAAAATCTTTTCCTAATGGATTTAGCTCACTTTGACCTCTTTGATTCCTGTTGAATTTACTGCTTATATCAAACATGTAGTGTTATGGTTTGGGTCTGGATGTCCCCCCAAAGCATCATGCAGTCATGGGGTGGGCTTCTAGAGTTTTTGATTGACTCATAGTCCAATACTGGGATTATGCATATGAGGGCTGCACTCACCCTAGGGTGGTGGCCTGCGTACCATCTAAGGAGGGAGAGAGGCTTGTTCTTTCCAGTTGCTCCTTCCTTTTTGCTCTTGTTCCTTTTGTTGTTTTCTGCTGCTGTGAGCTGCTCCCCTCTGCCATGTGCCACTCTGCCTTGGAGCCAACCAAGTATGGCCTGAAGTATCTGCAAGACGTGTGATAAATAAACCTTTCTTTTCTTCATCCTGAGGGTCAAGTATTTTGTTCCAGCAATAAGAGAAAAGTAATCAAGACATGTAGCATTTTAGTATCTACTTAAGCAGTGTATTTTAAAATTTATTTTAATGAGAAAAAAGATAAAATGGCACTGAAACAGTTTCAAAACAAGTTAGTAAGACCGTTACAACAATTAATACATTGCATATTGTTGTCTTCTAGGCAGTATATTTATGCACAGTTGATGCCCAGTAAACTTTATTGGCTAAATTTTCTCATTTTAAAGTAAATATATGTTGTCAGTAAATATATGTTGTCTGATCAAATAAATAAATAAATAAATAAATAAATAATGATATGTCTGAATAGAAAAAAATAAGTAAATAAATAAACATTGATATGTTTGAATAGATTTCTATAACTTTTCTTTTTGGTCTTAGGTATTTTTGGAGTTAATGGAGCCAGAAGCACAGCTAGAATCAGACAGTTCAGAAAAGTCATTATTTTTCTCACAGGAGGAAGAAAAAGAAGAATCTCAAGAATCAAAGGAAACAGGCATCGAGAACCCCCTAATAAAACCTGCTCTCACAGGGGATGTAGAAGGTTTGCAGAAGATTTTTGAGGATGCTGAAAATCCTCATCACAAACACGCCATGCAGCTCCTCTTGGAAGAGGATATTGTCGGCAGAAATTTATTGTATGCAGCTTGCATGGCTGGGCAGAGTGATGTAATTAGAGCTTTGGCAAAATATGGTGTGAATCTGAATGAAAAAACTGCCAGAGGTATTTTGTCTTTTATCTCTCATTAGTGTTATTTATATCATTATCTAATGACACTATGTACTGTCATTATGATTGGATAAATGTGTTGTGCTTGTCTTATATGTTACATATATATGTGTGAAGACATGCATGACATATACATGTAAGTGTATCAATGTTGTTATTGGACAGCACAGCATTTATGAACACAGACTTTACTATTTATTAACTGTGTGACGTGGCAATTGGTTCTCTTTATTTTTTTGAAACAGGATCTTGCTGTACAGATAGTTTATGCTAGTCTTAAACTCACGAGGTATCCCAGGCTGGCCTTGAACTCATGGCAGTCTTCCTGCGTCAGCCTCCTGAGTACTGGGATCACAGGCATGTGCTATCATGCCTGGTCCCTGATCTGGTTTTTTTTTATTTTTTAAATAAATCTCTGTTTCTTGGTCCACAAAATGAAGATGATAGTTATATTTTCTTTGTAAAATGTCATGAAATAAGATCAATATCATGGTGCTTGAGATGTAAAAAATAGGGACATAGTAAATGTACAAAATAATATTATCATTATTTCTTTCTTTTGAAGATTTTTTAGTTTTTAGCAGTCATTACTTAATTCAGTGCTTAGTTTTTTCCCTCAGCAGGTAGGATGCATGGCCAGGGCAGGGTGCAACAGTCCTCTCCATCAGATGTGAGCTCTGCATTCTCTCTACACTCATATGAAACGTTTTAACAGTTTGATCACGTGTTGAGCTAAGGAGGGCTCGGCAAATATCAAACAGTTTGTAGCATGCAGTTTTTGCCCCTGACCACAACAAAATAAAATTAGGAAAAAGTGACAACAACGACAACCATAACAACAACAAAACAAAAAGAGATGACTAAAAATTTGGAAGCGCTTTTTTATTTTGGAAGCGCTTTTTTATTTTTGGATTTGAGACAGGACCTCCTTATGCAGTTCAGATTGGCCTTGAACTCACCTAGCAGCCCAGGGTGGCCTTAAACTCACAGCAGTCTTCCTGCCTCAGCCTCCTGAGCGCTGGGACTACAGGTGCGTGTCCCCACACCCAGCTAAAAACACACTTCATATCATCAGGTGGGTGCAGGGGATACCTCAGTATCATTAAGGAATAGCATTATGGTCCTACAAATGACTTGTTTATCCTTCTTTATGGCTAAGTAGCACTCTGAGATGTATATTTTGTATACATTTTTATCTCTTTTTAAAAAATTTTTATTTTTATGGCTGGGGAGATGGCTCAGTGGAATAAGCGCTTACCTGGCAAGCACAAGGGCCTGAGTTCAACTCCCGGTTCCGCCAAAAAAATAAATAAATAAATTTTTATTTTTATGTATTTAGCACAGGGTCTACAGGGTCTCACTACATAGATTGGACTTGTAGTGATTCTCCTGTTTTCAGCCTCCCAAGCGCTGGGATTACAGGTGTGCACCACCGTGCCCAGTCTCAATCACCCTCTCAGTGCGTCCCAGGGTTGGGGGTGGCATGGCAGGCTGGGGATCAAATCCTGACTGCTGCACCTGCTAAGCAGGTGCTTTAATCTGCTGAGCTATCTGGCCGACCCTCCGACAAACAATGCAGAAGGCTTCCTTTTCACCCATAACCTTGCTAGGCTTTGTTTTGTTCTTCACTCTTGCCATTTTAACTGTAATGTGCCATGGCCAGTTTCTTTTCTGGTCATGCTTATTTGGGATTCTAAATGCTCCCAAATCCAGAGGTTGATAGCTTTCCAAAGATTTGGGAAGTTTTCAGCTATTTCATAGAATAGATTTTGTATTATATCGGTTTGTTCCTTGACACACTCTTTTATATGAAAATTTTGTCTAGTCTTTCAACTATGTCCTAGGATTCCTGGATGTTTTGCACATCATTTTTTTTTTTTCTTTGTTAGTGTCCGCCTTTACTAATTCTTCAGCTGTCAAATCCTGACATTTTGTCTTCTGCTTGGACCTGTTTATTAGTTTCTGCTAAGTTTTTGATTTGATTTATTCATTTCAGAACTTCTGATTGGCTTTTTTTTCAGAATCTTTATTTCTTCGTTGTGTTGCTCCATAATATCCCACATTATCTTCCTTAATTCATTAAACTCTTTGTCTGTGTCCATCTTGAAGTCATTAATACTTTTGTAAATTAGTCTTTTGAATTGTTTGGCATTGTATCAACTTTAATATTTGTATTTAGTTATTGGTGAAAAGCCATGCTTAATATGACAGAAGTCACACTTCTTGTGTTTCTCTATAGAGCCTTGTGCCTTTTTTTGGGATGGATATCTTTTTCACTTTCTTTTTGAGGATTTTCTTAGTCTTCAGTCTTCTTTTGAGGGCTGGATACCTAGCACCACTCAGAGAATAGACAAACTGATATAGTGACAATCATAGAAAGACAAAACAGACATCAACATACAGTAAAAACCAATTTAAAAAATTGACATAAGTAAGAACCAATTATATCACCATTAACAATAGAAATCAGCAATAATAGAGATAAACCAAAAGGTTGAAATTAATAAAGTTCAATAGCAATGTAGTAATAATGGAGTTTGGAGTAAGGGAAAACTGAAGAAAAATTAAAATTTAAAAAAAGAAAGTAAGATGAAGAGAAAAAAGATAAAAATCACATTAAAAGGGCTGTCAAGGTAGCTCAGTGGACTAAGTAATTTCTTAGACAAGCACTGGGACTAGGGTTCGATTCCTGGTACCACATGCCATACCAGCCTGCCCTTGGGTGTGCTGAGCTGATATCCTGAGTCTGGGCATGGTGGTGCATGCCTGTAATCTCAGCACTGTGGAAGCTGAAAACAGGAGGGTCACTACGAGTCCAAACTGTGTAGTGAGACCCCAAATACATAAAATTTTTAAAAATCACATTAAAGAATAAAAGAAAATAAATAGAACTAGGTAAAACTGAAACTAGATATAACAAAAATAAACAAATGGGGTCGGGGAGATGGCTCAGTAGAGTAAGTGCTTGCCTGGCAAGCGCAAGGGTCTGAGTTCAATCCCTGGTTCCGAAAAAAAAAAAAAATAAAAAAATAAACAAGAAAAATAGGAAATTACAAGAAAAAAATTCTAAAAACACCTCAAACCACCCCCCCAAAAAAAACAAAAGAAGAAAAAAAAATGAGTCCAAAACATTTGTCCATTTGAGGGGTTTGGTTAGGTAGTTTCTTTTTACAACCCTTAGTATCCTAATCTACCAGGTATGGTGGAGGGAAAGTGAATTGCAGCAAGGACCTTTTGTTTTTACACCCACTTAACAGGCTGTTGTGTGTCAAGGCCAAGTCCTGTTCTGCCTTTCCAGGTGAATGGGACAATGGTATGTTATCTGTCTCAGTGCTGTATTCACTCCATGGCTTTGAATGGCTGTGTTTTTCTCTGCATCCTCAGCATATTCTCCCCAGCCAGCTTTGCACTCTGTGGGCTGGAGAGGTGCTGCACCACTTGCTCCCAAGCCTCCTCTGTGCATGCACCCCAGGACATGGCAAATGCCCACTCAGAACCATATCCACGAATATGTAGTGAGGTGGGAAAAAACAAACAGAACACAGAGTTCTGTGCTGCAACCTTGCAGACCACTAGCTGTGTATCAGCTTCCTTGACAAGTCTGCCTGGTCCCTGGGGGGTGGGTTGTCATAGGGATTTGGAAGGTTAGGTCTTAGTTCTCCTGGGCCTCAGCTCTGAGTAGCAAGATTCCTGCTACTGTGGCCACCTGTGTGTGGAATAATATTGGAAACTCAGGATAGAGGCACAGTATGGATACCAGCCTGTAGGACGGGATGTGCTGTAACAGTAGGTCAAGTTTCAAGATGGTGTCCATCTGACATTTAGGCCATGGTTTACAATGTGGACTCCTGTGTATAGTTGCAGTGCAGCTTTGTAAATTCTGGGTAACTCTCCAAACTCTTTTTGGGGTGTGTGAAATTTGGAGAAACTCCTGTGTAGTTGGCAGCAGCAGTGCATATTACTGGGGTTCTCCAGCTTGTTTTCCCTGTAAGAAGTCTATCAAGGTTTCGAGAGACAGTGTGGAAGAGGCAGGATACTGTGCTCTTCTTTCTGTGTCTCTGCCTTGGGTTGTTGTACTCTGTATCATTGTTGCCACTTGCTTGCTCTTTTCCAGTAGTTTCTCCACCCTTCTAGAAGAGTATAGTTGTTTAAAGAATAGGTTATTGACTTTTCTTTTGAGGGATGTATTAGTTAGCTTTCCATCACTGGGACAAAATACCTGGCACCTGTGACTTAAAGGACAGGTTTATTTTGGCTCACAGTTTCAGAAGTTCTAATCCATGCATGGCTGGCCAGCTCCAGGGAAGAAATTCATGGTGGAAGAGTACAGGAGAGGAGAGCTGCTCACTTCATGGAGCCAGGAAGCACAGAGAGAAAGAATGTGCCAGGGAGGGAGATGCACCCACCAGCCACTGCCTGCTCAGTGACACCTCTTCCAATCAGGCTCCATCTTTGAACAGCACACTTCACTATGAACTCATCCCTGTATCAATGCATTGAGGTATATAGTGCCCCAGAGATCCAGTAACCACCCACAAGTCCTACTTATGAACACACTGAGACTTTTAGGGGACATTTTAGATCTAGACTATTACAAAGAGAGTAAAGGGTGACAGGCTTCTCTAGTCAGCCACTTCATTGTGTCTCTCCATTTCTCCTATTTGTGAATTTTATTTTTAGGTCATTTGCTAGTGATACTCATTTCTTAAATCTTAAAATAATTTCTTCTTTACAATATCCTGAAGATTTTTTTCTTATAGCACTGGGGTTTGAAACCAGGGTCTTCATACTTAGCTATATCCCTAGATCTTTTTTTTTTCTTTTATGACAGAGTTTTGCTAAGTCACTAAGTTGCCGAGGCTTGGCTTAAACTTGTGATTCTTCTGTCCCTCAATCACAGAATTCTTGCTTATAGGCATGTGCCATCATATCCAGTTGGTCCTAAAGATCTTAAGAAAAACATTTTAATTGAAAACTTAAAATTGAGAGCACCT